ATTGCTGCCACCTCAAATGAGAAATAGGCATGGGAAAAAAAAATCCCTCATAAATAGTTGACCTCATTAAAGCAATTCCATTTGGGTAAGAAGGTGCCAGGTGCCAGTACTAAAGGCAACTAACTCTGTATTTAATTTTTTTTCCCCTAAATAAACACCAGAACAACTTCACACACACATTCTAAAGTTAATATCCTATAACTAGGTCCACCAGCATCCCATGTATCTAAAATATCCTTGGCATAAAAGTACAGATTGCTTCCTTTACCTGAAGGGGTCAGTTTTGTGTTTAACAGGCTGATTAAGAAAAAGAGACATCCCAAAAACAATTGTGCACATTCACTGTTCTGCAGGGGACAGACATCGCTCAGCATGTATCAAACTGTCCCAGCACACTAACTGTATTGCTAGACAAAGTAAGGAGATTGCAATAAACTACCTATCCCACCAGTAGTAAGAGAAGTAAGGAGATTGCAATAAACTACCTATCCCTATCAGTTAAAGACAGCAAGCCAATGCAACCAGATGACAGCCCCAAACCCAAGCTAAGTGCTTTGTTGTTACTAAGTTAGGCTTAATTTTGCATTCAGAAATGTCACAATTTTTCCCTTCAGGAAAGACAACAGCACAATGGTGTTCTGCCAGCTGGCTGCTCCCCCACTGCAAGGAGCACAGCTCATGTCTCACAACAACACTGCATCCTTCAGGAAGGGTCTTCAAGGACAGAAACCCAAGATTCAGATTCCCCTGTTTGATCTCAGTGGTAACAGTGAACTAAAGTTAATAGTAAATAAATACTGCAATTAATTTTTGTCAAGATTTCTACTTTCTTTAAATTCCCTGTTTACTAACTCCAGCAAGATCAGTCATTCCTCTCTTTACAAGAGAGGAAGGGAAACAATGCAGGATAAGGTCTATATTATTCTATTGCTGTTAACACTTGTAATTAAATCAAGTATTTTAAGTAAGTCATACTGAATAAACATATCACTATTTAAACAACAGGATTAGGGAAAGGTAGGTTGTGCAGAGCAGTGCGATCTTGTCACAGTAAGGCAGATATTAATGATCTCACTGTCCAGTACATACTCCTGTAGATGAATATGGTAGTGCAGATTAATTACTATGATTTTGTTTCATTTCTACAATCAAGAATTATATCCTCTATATTTCATTCATTAAGGTTCTTTTGTAAGTTTTCTTCTTTATTAAAACAGTTCTACTATACTAAATCAGCAGAAAGAGCTGCACTGACTCCATCACTTTGCAGCTTTAAAAGTGAGAATGGAAAATAAGCGCCAAAAGGCTCCTGCCCAAAAAACCAGTACAAATTCTGTCCAGATAATAAAACCAAGGTGTTTAGAAGGCAAGTCAAACAAGGTCAGACACTGGAACAGTTAGACATGGGAATAACAAAGCTATTCCTCCAATAAAGAGAGAAAGCAAGGAGAACTGAATGTCCATTTCAGGCTCTTGGAATGTTCTACACGGCACTAGCTCAACAATTGGTATCTCAAGTACAGCACTTTTATTTCTTCTTCATTCCTCTTCATGCAAGAGTGTGTGCAACTCAGGACATGCACGTATCCAACATTTATCATTCCAAAATGAACATTTTATCAGATACTTTTCTTATAAATACCAATTCATCTGGCCTAGCAAAACATGCATGTGAGCAGTAAGCTTGGCAAGACCCATTTTAATAACTGCATCTCAGTTTATGGCTGAGATGTCTGCCCACAGACTTAAGAACTTATCACAACAGTGTAAATAGAACAGGTGTAAATAGTACAACCCAAAGAATACTTTTTAAAAACAAAGAGTGGTTTTAACCAGAAAGTAAAGAAGAACTAAAGCACTAAGGAGATATTTCTCTGTTCTAAAGCATTACATGTTTTTTCACTGCTGTCAACAAACCAGTGCACTAATCCCCTGCCATTATTGTTCTTATAGCAGGTGGAGACCATATACAGAGACGCAGAAGCAGCATTTGCAGAGCAGTTATCTTCCCACTCCAGACCTTCTCTGTTGCTTTAACTCCGTCATTAGGACTGCACCATTATACTTCAGGAGACACACTGCGTGGCGCTCAAGACCTGCCTCCCAGAAAACAAGCATCTTGCCATTCAGCTCTGAAGACAGTGATGCAATTCTGCCTAGTCTAAGGGCTTAGCTCAAGTCACTGTTTGAGCTCCAGGTCTTTGGGGACTACTTCTATTTTCAGAACAAGTCAGGCAGATTAACACCAAGTACTGAAAGGGTGTATTATAAAAATAAAGGCTATATTTTTTAGTAGTAGTAGTATGCTATTATTCCATTTACTAATGCACTATCAATGTTACTGGGAAAAGAGCTCTACTAGAACTGGAAATTACAGAAAAGTATTAGAGAAAGCAAGTGTGAAAGCCTCAGTTCACTAAAGAGTCAGAATACGAATAGTGCGCATCCCTGGTAAGAGATGTGCAGGCATGCACCTCTCAGGCCAGGCGACCAGCTAAAGTGATTGAAGAGAAAGCCACTTCCCCAACTTGTGCACACAATTCTCACAGTAAGTCACACAAAAGCAGCAGCCAATGGTAAAGCCCCAGGTCCCAGATGCATTGGTCAGTTGGCTCGTTATATAAAAAACACCATCCACCCTGTATTACTTCTGATTGAATATAAAAAATATATACTCTTGAGTAAACCAAATAATGGATATAAAAGACCACCTGTATTGTGAAATACTCTGAAGAGACATGGGAACCAAGAAACTAACCTCATTGCCATTCATTTCGAGGTCTGACACTTTGAACAAATCTAGGTCTTACACTTTGAACAATTTACTTCCATCTCAAAACTTCAGTTTTCTTATCTGTGCAATGATACAGGCTGCTTGCCCTGTCCTCACAAGCACGTGCTTATTTATGGAAACCGCCCTGAAAATGTCAAGTGCATTTTTTAGAACCAATTGAAAAGCATGAAATAAACTGAAATTACAGACAGAATATCATACTGTTAGCATTTGTAATGTTTCAACAGCACTTAAATAAGGTTTCATGATATCACACACAAGAATCTAAGTAATTTCCCAGATAGCATAAAGCAATAATATTTGCAGGCAGTTTAAGGCAAGTTAATACCAAACTTCCATTGAAAACACTAAGCCTGCATGCCTAATTGCTCCAGGGGCCTTTGAAAATCCAAGTGAAAATTAACAATAAGCAGTAAATAAACCCTTTCAAAAGGAAAGCAGCTCCCTCCCCTCCACTATCATATGGTATTCCACAAAACCACATTTCACTTATATAAACGCATATTACATCAGAACGGGTCAGAGCCAGAGCTATGCAAGAGTAACTAATACAATTCACAATATTTTTCAAAAATATTAGTCTTTTTATAACATACTGTAATGTTATTAGGGAAAG